CGACCCCACCGAATGTAGATCGTAGCCAACTTTTTCTTCTATCAGACGTAGAGTCTCTGATTTGATATCAAGCTCTTTGATCCATTTTGAGTTAACTTTTGTGCATGGCGAGAGAAAGGGATTCAGTTTCATTTTGTTGCATATGGATTTCCAGTTTTCCAAACAAAGTCAATAGAGTAGGTGGAGAGGTAGGTAGGTGGACTTATTATGAGGATTGTATCATATGATTATGGAGGCCAAGGAAACCCATGGTCAGCCCTCTGCAAGTTAGAGACCCAGGGAAGCTAGTGGTGTGTTTTTTAGTTTGAGTCCAAAGGCCTAAGAACCAGAGGAGTTGATGGTACAAATCCCAGCCCAGAGGGGCAAGAGAAGATGAGATGACCCAGCCCAGGCAGGCAGCTAGGTGGGAATTAATCCTTTATTCCTCTGCCTTTTGTTCTATCCAGGCCCTCAGTAGCTTGGACCATGCCTGCCCACACAGAAGAGGGCCATCCACTTTACTACATCCACCAATTGAAATACCAGTCTCATCTGGAAATTCTCTCACAGATGCATCTAGAAACAATGTTGAATCTGAGTACCTATGGCCCACTGAGATGAAACATGAAATGACCTGTCCTAAGGAGTTAAGGATTTTAGGACTCTACCAATCACTGTGATGCCTTGTGCACATGCTTTGCATTAGATGTTTCCATTACTCATGTTACCTTTAGTTTGCAATAATAACAACCAGTTGTTATAATCCCTATTTTACAGTAAGGGATTAGAGGTTCAGAGTCATTAACCCAGTTACTCAGTACCACAGAGCAAAAGGCAGCCCATGGTCAAACTAGGGGTCTGTTTCAATTTTAAGACAAGATCATGCTGTTGTTGAGCCTAGCCTCAAATGTGTAATCCTCCTTCCTCAGCCTTTTGATTCTCTGTGATTGTGTGTGCCATAATGCAGTTTCTTTTTCTTTTAGCTAAATACACCTAGGGTGTTGGCCTGAAGTACCACGTTTGGGGGTTAGGGGATGCTTATGAATAGGAATGCTATGAATCAAGGCTTTTTTTATTTTCCAGTCATGTGGACCATATTTCAACCATTGTGCAAAAACTTCTTCACTCAGCACTTTTTAACCATTGCTACCTTTGCCATACCAAGAATGTGACCATTCTAATTATACTTGAGGCTGTCGCAAGTAGTATAACACATAACAGTCAATCTTGTAATTAGACTTTTGAGCATTAAATTGATTTAAAGCCTTATTTCACATTTCACAAGGGAGATTCTGTCACACACTTAAATCAGGCAGAGAAATCAAATACTGAACCAATAGTATTGGGACACATCCTAATCCTCATACTGGTTCAGGAGAAGAAGACACACAGTTGCATGGTGGGCACTGGTATCACCAGGGCACCATGAATTATAGGTTCTGGTATGATAGGCATTCCATGGAGTTGGTACTGGGGCATCCCGCAAGTGAGTTGGACATAGGGATCATGAAAGATCCTTTAATGAGAAATGCTTAACTTGTGAGGACAGTGCTATGATTACAAATCAGTGAAGCAAAACACAGTTCAACATTAATGAATATGAAGCCTGGTGCCAGGTTGTCAACTCCTGCTTCATCTAGGTGAGTTTGTGTGGATTACTTTGTTCCTCTAGGCCTTACTGTGGTCCTCTGCAAATAGGCATGATAACAATACCTACCATATGGGCACATTAGGAAGACTGGGTAAGTTAGTATTTGTAAAGCATATAACACTGATGCCTGACACAGATGTATCACTTCAGTGTCTGTTAAAAATATTAAAAAACATATTTGATGAATCATCCTGTTAATGCTTGATAAAATTAGATATGAATCACATGATTAAGATTGTCCATAATTTTCTCTCTGATCTCAGTTACTAAAGTAGTTATTATTGCTAGAATGATATGCTACTTCAAAATAAAATAGCCTTAATATATTTGTGACTATTTGCATATTCTATAGTCTTTAAAAAGAAGAAAAATAAAATCTCTATACCAGTTGTAGAGATGCACATGTAAAAGTATATACATGTCTTTTTATTGTATTATTTGTAAAAGAGAAAAATTATGGAAAATTTAGATTTCTATTAGTGGAAGATGGGATATATTATTGTATAATCATTTAAAATAAATTAATTATCTCTACATGAAACAACAGGGACATATTTCTAGAACAATTTCAGGTACAAAGAAACCTTGAAAAATACATAATATGTACAGGAAACTTTCATGTAAAGTTTTTAAACACACCAAAGGAAGTTATATGTTACTTTGGATACATACGTATGTAGAAAATGTGTCACAAAAGCAGGAACATAACGGATGCACTACAATATCAAAATGGTGATTTGAGGAATAAAGGACTGAAATGGAATCTGGCAGGGTGTGGGTGGTCAATTTCATCTGTAATATTTTCTTTCTAAAATAAAAAAAATAAAACACTACAAGATGTTACCATTTATTGAATCAAAGTGGAGGGTAAATTATTACTTTATTCTCCATTCTTCTTATTTACATTGAATCATTTCTAATAAAAATAATAAATAATGCATTTAAAATGTCATCATAACTGAAGTTTCCACTTATGAATTTTACTACTTTCTCCAGTAATAAAAAGCTGAGGATTTCAAAACATTAGCATGTCACCAGTTATGCTGGTATTTCCTATGGATGGTCCTATTTTATGATGTTTGGAGAGGATTTTAGCACAGCGACTCTAAGGGGACTCTATGGAATGCATTTTCAGTATTCTGGAAAGAGTTTTAATGATCTGTTGTACATCAGTGTTAATGGGAGTCTGTTAAATAAATCTTCAATCAGTCCCCGAACGTGTGTGTGTGTGTGTGTGTTGGGGGTACTGTTGATTGAATACAGCAGCACTCTACCACTGAGCTACATCCTTGGACCTTTTTTATTTTTATTTTTTATTTTGAGGCAGTATCTCACCAAGTCTCTAGGGCTGGTTTTGAACCTGTGATCTACTACTGTGTCACCTTCCTGAGTAGATGGGATTACAGGTGTATGCCACTGCACCCAGCTCCCAAGAAGTCCTTTTAAAAGGGTTGCAATTTTGTTAAAACAATTTTTTTAAAGCACTCACCTTCCTTGCTAATTCTGCTAAGCAAGTGCATAGCATGTTTCTGGGCTTCAAATGAAACAATATGGAAGCATATGATGTTCTGCTTTGTAGCTTTTTTTTTTTAAAGCGTATCAGCAAGGCAACTAATTATTCCAATGAATCCATGTGATGAATTATTCTTTGGATATGTAATTGATTGGTGAACAAACAATACCATTGTAACCCATTTTTTTTCAGTGTTGTGTATCGAGATGTGTCTGATGTGCTGTGAATTAGGCAATTCTCTGTTATTGTATAAATTAACTGAAACAATGACTTGTGACTTTAGAGGTTGAATATGCCACTGACCACTTCATGTCCTATATATAATGTGTTATGTGTAAAATATTCACCAAATTAATTTTGTCAGATGTTGTCTACATTTTAACTAGCAAACAGTTTCATTGGCTAGAACACAAATGTTAAGTACCTCAATTTTAATGTAATTTAACATTGCTGAAGTTGTTAAACATGACATATATTCATACATTCTATATTATTTATTGACTACTCGTCATGCACTATTGGGTCCTAGAGATAAAGTAGGGACCAACATAACGCTGTTCTCTTCAAAGTGTTAATAACCTAATGCATAAGAGAGAGAAGAAAAACAAGTAATTATAACAGATAAATTCTATACGTGTGATCAACAAAGGGTATTAATGGGGTACAGAGCAGGGAATCCCAACCCAGACTATGGTAGTAAAATTATTAAGGAAAGCTTGGGAATATGTGCATGCTGATCCTCTATTTGGAAACTGGGAGAGCAATAGTCCAAGAAAAGGAAATAACACCCGGAAAGGCCCAGAGACAAGAGAAAGTACATTTAGGGCCAAATGTTAGGTTGTTTCTTTAGCTTCAAGAGTCTCCACTACTTCGTTATTTCTTTGGAATTTCTAGCCCAAGTCACTTTAAGAATGGCCATTGGACATCAACCATCTGTAAGTCCCAGAATGATCATAGCCACCACTCAAGATTAACTGAATTTCTGAGGCATTGGGATTTTAAAAAAAACTTCCCAGATGATGTTACTATGCTTTTGCGTTGAGAATCACTGATTTACAAAATAAAGCCTGATGTATATGTTGATTATGAATGTTTAGGCAAGCAAGGGGGACAGAAGTGCAGTTCAAGGGCATGGACAAAACAAGATGGCTGTAAAGAAATGACCTTGGGAGTGTAAAGTGCAAAGCCATGAGAAGAGTGACTCATTCCAGAACTCATCTTGACGGATTCAGATAGATAGCACTTAATACTTTTTCAATTCCTTTACTCAATCATTTCAAAATACTTCACCAACCCTCACTATAGGCCAGTATGTTGGGTGCTGTGTATACAGATATGAGTAAGACAACTCCCTCCCTCTCCCCATCTCCCATACATCATTAGAGTGCAAATGTTCAAAGCTGAAGAAACACTCAGGATGGCATCTCAGAGTTTTACCCTAGACCTATTGCCATATAACAAGCCATTTTACCATTAGGCTGCATTCTTTTCTTTGGTATTTTACCAAAATCCTGTAATTTACAATGATTTGGAATTTATATTTTTATGCAGTCTCTCTGGTATAATTTTCCTTTTATTTTAATGTGATATAGTCCTTTATATCTTCACTGGAAAAGTTTTTGCATGATGATATAATAACCTGCTAATCTTACTCTAACATAGAAGCTAATTTAAAGAGCCAAAATCTTCCATTTGCTAAGTAAATGTATGTGCATCTTTGATACATTGATTCTTTTGTTTAGATATTTGGTAAGTTTATGGGAACAATATATAATGCTACAATATTTTAGCACTCTAAATATACAGTTTACTATGTGTCAAGAACCTAACCCATTTTTATTTCCCTTTCTAACACAGGTGAAGAAAACCTCCTGGCAATTTTACGACGAAGATGGTGGAAGTATATGATCCTGGGACTGATAGACCTGGAAGCCAATTACCTGGTGGTCAAGGCTTACCAGTACACGACCCTGACCAGCATCCAGGTACCAGTGGCTCTTCTTTTCTCAATTTCCCCTTATAGTTTACATTCAGTTTAATATCTTGGAAATCTGAATACTCTCCTATAAATTTTCCAATAGAAGGAGGATTGGTTGTATAGAAATTAACTTGAGCTTCATTCATGTGTCATTAATTTTTCTTAATTCAAATATCAAGAACTTTTCCTCTTTGTTCTGAATCATCACAATAATCATTGGCAACATAGGAAAATAATTTGTGGCTTTGAATGCTGCCAACTAATCTTGTGTCAGCAGGAGAATTATTAGTAAGTATAAAAATAAGTCTATTTTTACCACAACCTAACTTTTTAGAATGTTAATAGACTCTGATTAAATAATCAAGCTGCTTAATAATCTTTTCTTTTAGCTTGTTTCAGTATGTAGAATTTGTAATCTGAAAGTACATGATTTTTCCTAAAGGGACAAGGATAAAATTCCTAAAATAGCATGAAGATAGTTACTGTGTTTCTTTCCCTTTCTCCCTTCCTCTCTTTCTTTCCCTTTCTCATACACACACACACACACACACACACACACACACACGAATGCAAATTTAACCTAGTTTTTCACAATTGTCAAACATTTATATTCCTTATTACATTGTAAATGATAAGTTTGACTACTTGTTTCAATCTTGTTTTTCTTCATATAACAATATTATGAATCTCATAGCAATTACAAAACTCCAGGAAAAACATAAAACATATTCAAATATTAGATTTGGCTTAGATTTGATACTTCAACAAAAATTTTTGCCATCCTATTAATTGCCTAGGAACAACAAAATATAGATAAACAAATAGGCAAACAAAGCACCTGAATAAATTTAGATCATATAGATTGGATGAGAAGTAATCTTGATTTCACTTTCCTACCACCTGATTTATAAGTGAGCTTCAAAGATGATGTCTTACTCCATTTTTGCTGCTATCACAAAACACTTGAGACTGGGTAACTTATAATAAATAGAAATCTATTGACCCACAGTTATGGAAGCTAAAACTTAACTTTCCCACCATCTGATTTCCAAATGAACTTCAAAGCTGATGACTCAGTTTGGTTTTGTTGCTATAACAAAATATTTGAAACTATATAATTTATAATGAACAGAAACTCATTGGCTTGCAGTTCTGGAGGCTGGGAAATTCAATATCAAGTGTTCAGCATCTTATGAAGGCCTTCAGCTGCATCATCCCTTGGTGGAAAGTAGAAGAGCAAGAGAGAGAATGAGGGAGCAAACCAATCCCACCCATAGGATGTAGTGCTCATGGCCTAATCCCCTCTTAAATGCCTTGCCTCTTTTTTTTTAATTTTTTATTGTTGGTTGTTCAAAACATTACAAATTTCTTGATATATCATATTTCACACTTTGATTCAAGTGGGTTATGAACTCCCATTTTTACCCCATATACAGATTGCAGAATTACATCAGTTACACATCCATTGATTACATATTGCCGTACTAGTGTCTGTTGTGTTCTGCTGCCTTTCCTATCATCTACTATCCCCCCTCCCCTCCCCTCCCCTCTTCTCTCTGTACCCCCTCTACTGTCATTCATTTCTCCCCCTTGTATTATTTTTCCCTTTCCCCTCACTTCCTCTTGTATGTACTTTTGTATAACCCTGAGGGTCTCCTTCCATTTCCATGCAGTTTCCCTTCTCTCTCCCTTTCCCTCCCACCTCTCATCCCTGTTTAATGTTAATCTTCTTCTCATGCTCTTCGTCCCTACTCTGTTCTTAGTTACTCTCCTTATATCAAAGAAGACATTTGGCATTTGTTTTTTAGGGATTGGCTAGCTTCACTTAGCGTAATCTGCTCTAATGCCATCCATTTCCCTGCAAATTCTATGATTTTGTCATTTTTTAATGCAGAGTAATACTCCATTGTGTATAAATGCCACATTTTTTTATCCATTCGTCTATTGAAGGGCATCTAGGTTGGTTCCACAGTCTTGCTATTGTGAATTGTGCTGCTATGAACATCGATGTAGCAGTGTCCCTGTAGCATGCTCTTTTTAGGTCTTTAGGGAATAGACCGAGAAGGGGAATAGCTGGGTCAAATGGTGGCTCCATTCCCAGCTTTCCAAGAAATCTCCATACTGCTTTCCAAATTGGCTGCACCAATTTGCAGTCCCACCAGCAATGTACAAGTGTACCCTTTTCCCCACATCCTCGCCAGCACTTGTTGTTGTTTGACTTCATAATGGCTGCCA